AAAAAAAAAAGAACATTGCGGACAGTGGCGGAGCCATAAATTTATACAGGGGGGTTAAAAAAATAGAATGTCACGTATGGGATATGAACCTGTGATCTAAAGGAATTTTTGAACCCCCTTTGCCGCTGCACTGGACTTTTTCCTTTTATCAAGGGAATTCATCAGCTTATGTATAAACAAAATATTCTTTTTCCCCTATTTTCACAGTATATTTCAACAGTTATAATTTTTTAATGAAGGAGGTTTTCCCATAGCTCCGCCACTGTTTGCGGTATCAAACCCAAACAAATGCATGTATCTCAGAGCAATAGCGGTAAACAAAATTGTCTGAGCTTATCTTAACATGAAGGGATGTTGTTGTTATATGCTAAACAAGAAGACCTAATTGTAGAAAGTGGAAAAAACATCAAGAGAAACAACTCTGATGCAAAAGGGCTATCCTCAAAAACATAATTCTTCTAACTGTAATGACTGATTAACATTGTACTCAAATTCAAAAGACAAAAACATAGACTTTTACTTTCATAATATACATTGTACTAAAAGCTGATAAAAAAAAAGAACCCCAATACGTGAAATAATCCAAAATTAAATAAAAATTAAGCAAAAAAGGCAAAAACTAAAGTTTTCCAATAAAATTACCATTTCTCCCATTTATAACAGCTACAATCCTCCTCCTCAATTTGATTACACTGCAGAAAAAGAAAACACAGAAATTAACAACACCAAAAATCGACTTGTGCAAATTTCAAAAGATAAAGAAGATCGTTTCTAAAACTTTTTTCTACCCAAAAAAAAAAAAGTGATGAACCAACAGTTAAAATTTAGAAGCTACTGTGATCTCCATCACAAACTGAACTAATGAAAATCCCTCGTTTCAATGTTTCGTCGTCCAATTGTTGATCTTCCGGCAACTGGGAAACAGAAGTAAAAGGTTTCTTCTTTTCTTGTTTGTTCTTTAGTACAGTATTAGTTTTATGGAATTTTACTTGTCTACCCTATAGTATTAAATATTACATTTCAGCCCCGGATTGTGAGTTCTTGTTTGAGACGGTTTTCGGTGATGACGTGACAAATAATACTCACGGCATCAAAAATGTCAAAATGGTAAAAAAAAAACTTCAATCTATCTTTTGTTTTTACTAACTTGCACTTGATAGGAACACATGGAGGTCGAATATTAGGGTTGTAAGGTAAGAGGTAGTTGAGTCTTGCCTTATGTCATGACTTTATGAGACTAGTTCGGTAGGTATACTATTTCGCCTTTGCTTTGTATCTTTCTTCTTGATTGCATGTTATTCCTATTTTTCATATTATTTCTGTGTTGTTACTGATATTGTCTCCTTTTGTCTTTTTGTCTTCTTGAGCCGAGGATCTTTCGGAAACAGCCTTTCTACTCCTTCGGGGTAGGGGTAAGGTTTGCGTACACGCTATCCTCCCTAGACCCCACTAGTGAAATATCACTGGGTCGTTGTTGATGTTGTATTGCACATTGGCCAATACTTGATACCAAATTATAGGTATCGATCAATGCAATAGTGATAAAATGAAGAGAAAGAGATAACAAGAAAGAAGGAGAAGAGAGGAGATCAAAGATTGAGAGATTTCAGAATTTTCTTAGTATTCAATAATGTGTCTTACATTTCTCCTATTTATATGACTAATATAAGGAATTCAAATAAAATACAAAAGAAGATCAAATGAGCTGAAATTCCTACTAACTAACTTTCCCGCCCTTCCGTCTTTTTGAATTTTCGGTACAACAATAATATGTTAAGCTAACTACTCGTCCACATGGCATCCTAGTTGGCATCTGAGCTGGAAGTAGGTCCCTCAGTAGCTGAATTATGTGTATCAATACCCCCTCGATGAACAATACCCTTGTCCTCAAGGGTGAACTGTGGAAACCTAGTGCGCAAGTCTGAAGCTAGCTCCCAAGTAGCTTGAGCTGAATCTAAATCTGTCCATTTGATCAAGCATTGAGCAATAGCCTTATTGCCTTTTTTATGAGTCTTCTAGCCAAGATTGCTTCAGGATAGGGACATAAAAGACTAGCCAAGTCCAAAACAGGAGGGTGCATAATAGTGGAAGGTAAGGAGTACTAGAATTTTAGTTGAGAGATATGAAATGTAGGATGAAGTTGAACCTAAGGAGGAAAGAGAAGCTTATAGGCAACAGCTCCAACCCTTTTAATAATAGGATGAGGACCAAAATATTTGGAAGTCAGCTTGTGATAAGGGGAAAGAGAGAGTGTGGATTGGCGATAAGGTTAGAGTTTAACAAACACCCAATCTCCCACCTTAAAGACACGATCAGACCTATGACTGTTAGTTTGAACTTGCATTCTCTGCTAAGCTCTGCCCAAATGAAATTTAGCTAACTGAAGTTTGAAATCCCTAACCAACAAAATGTGCTCAACAGCAATAATGGAAGAGTCACTAGGAAGATAAGGGAGGTGTATAGGAGGAGGATAACCATAAAGAAGCTCAAAAAAAGTGGTTTGAATAGCAGAATGAGGGTTGGAATTGTACCACCATTCAGCAATAGATAAGAAGGAACACCAATCAGTAGGAGAGTCAGTGCAAAAACATCGCAAATATGTTTCCAAACACCTATTGAGCACCTCACTTTAACCATCAGTCTGTGGATGATAGGCAGTTGAAGTTTGGATGGTAACACCTTGAACTTATAAGAACTCTTTCCAGAAAGAACTAATGAATATATGATCCATGTCACTTGTGATAAAGGTTGGAAAACCATGAAGTTTAAAGATGTAATCCATGAACAGAGTTGCAAGGGATTGGGTAGTATAAGGATGGGCAAGAGCAATAAAGTGTCCATACTTAGTGAGCCTATCAATGATTACCCAAATGACAGTCTTACCTCTTGATTTAGGTAAGCCTTCTATGAAGTCCATATTAATGTTTGTCCAGGGTGTAGCAGGTATAGGCAAGGGTTGTAAGAGGCCTGGGTAGGCAGAAGTATCATACTTGTTCCTTTGGCAAGTATCACAGCTATGAATGAAATCCAGTATGTCTTTCCTGATTCCCTTCCAATAGAAGTAAGCCATCATCTTCTTGGTAGTAACATCAATACCAGAATGACCCCCAGAAGGAGTAGAATGCCATAGAGTTAAGATTTTCTTCCTCATAATATCATCATTTCCTACTACAAGTTTTTCCTTCCTCCGTAACTGCTCATTGATCCAAGTAAAGTGCTTTTGTGGAGCCTGTACTAAAGATGCAATGAGAGCTTTAAGCTCAGGATCATTTTGCCAACTATCTGAAATAACTTGTCATAAATCAGTCTACACAGAAGAGACCATCAAGGACATTAATGTAACGCCATCTACCCTGGAGAGTGAATCTGCAACAGCATTCTCTTTCCCCTTCTTATACTGAATTTCAAAATCAAAGGGGAGCAACTTAGCTAACCACCTAAGTTGTGAATCAGTGTGTAATTTTTTTTTCCAATAAGTACTTCAAAGCTTTTTGGTCAGTCTTCACAATAAAGTGTTGGCCAAGCAAGTATTGAGACTATTTAGTGACAGCAAATACAAGGGCAAGTAATTCCCTTTCATAGACAGATAAAGCAACATGTCTGGGAGCCAATCCGTTGCTGATAAAGGCTATAGGATGGCCAAGCTGCATCGGAACAACACCAATTCCAATGCCACTTGTATCAATCTCCACCACAAAGGAATAGAGTAATCAGGCAATGCTAAGACATGTGCAGTAGTGAGGGCCAACTTCAATGCATCAAAGTCCTGAGCAGTAGCTATAGATCACTTGAAACTATCCTTCTTCAAAAGCTCAATTAACGGTCGACTAATAAGACCATACACCTTAATGAATTTCCTGTAATATCCTGCAAGCCCAAGGAACCCTCTTAGTTGTTTGATTGTAGTAGGAGTAGGCTATTATTGAACATCACTGATCTTCTTAAGATCTATAGAGACTCCTTTACTAGAAATGAAGTACCCCAGGTATTCCATCTTGGAGACTCCAAAAACACACTTAGATTGTTTGGCTAGCAGACTATTAGTAACCATTATATCAAAGACATGTTGTAGATGAGAAGCATGTTATGATAAGCTTCTACTATATATTAAGATATCATCAAAGAACACTAAGACAAATTTCCTCAAAATTGGTTGAATAAGTGGTTCATAAGACACTAAAAGATAGAAGGGGCATTGGTTAAGCCAAAGGGCATAACCAAGTACTCATAATGACCAAGATGAGTTTTGAAGGTTGTCTTAGGTATGTCAGCTGAGACCATTCTTATCTGATGATAACCTGATCGAAGATCAATTTTAAAGAATATCACTGCTCCTGCTAACTCATCCAGTAGATCGTCTATAATAAGATTAGGGAACTTATCCTTGACAGTACATTGATTCAGTTCCCTATAATCCACACATGACCTTCATGTTCCATCTTTCTTTCTTACTAATACCACTGGAGATGCAAAAGGACTGTTGCTATATTGGATCACATCCTGCTGTAACATGTCTTTAATCAGCTTCTTAATAATATCCTTCTTTAGAGAAGAGTACCTGTAAGGCCTAATATTGATAGGCTTAGTCCTAGGTTGCAAGGGGATGCTGTGATCAAATGTACCTCTTTGTGGAGGCAAGGATGTTGATCTGCAAACACCTGTTTGTACTGATTGAGAAGGTTCTCGATTATAGCAGGAACATGAATTTCTTTGGATAAATGCAACAAACTGATTTCCTGAAGGCAGCTCAGGCTCAACAACTAAAACCTGCAGCATAAAGAGTTGCACTTGGTCTCCATTCATTTTGTTGATAGCCTTAGTGCTGGACAACTTTCATTCTTCAGAGGCACCCTTCAACAAATGGAACTTGACTTGATAAGTAAAGGACATGGTTAAGTCAGTGTAGTCCATAGTGACTGGTCCCAATGTTTTCATCCACAAAGCTCCCAAAACCAAATCATATCTCCCAACTGGAAAGACTATCAGGTCTGAAGTATAAGAAGTGCCCTGCAGCATCCATTGGAAATCCCTTACTACTCAAGATGTAGCCTCCATAGAATTATTACCAAGGCTAACATAACCAACCTTAGTAGAAGAGATGGTACAACCAAGTCTTTTAGCATATTCACAATCTATAAAATTGTGAGTACTACCCCCATCCAATAGAATTTGTAATGGCCTTTTGTTATTGTACCCAGTCATATGTATTATTTGAGCACCTTGTATTCCACTCAATGCAGATAAGGAGATCATAGAAGGATCACTGTCACTAACAAACCAATCTTCATTGGTAGCATCACCTTCTGTCTTTAGGTTTGAGTCCTCTAAACACTCATCATTCTCCATATTCTAAGTCCAATACAAATAATTGTTTTGGAAGTGTACATTTGTGGCCAGGTGAATACTTCTCATCACAAAAGTAACATAAGCCTTGAGCCTTCTTAGCTTGCATCTCAGTAGGAGAACTTGTCCTCCTATACTTAGGAACAACTGGAGCTCTAGGTGCAGGCAAAGCTAGCTTAATGTTTGGAGCAGAATTAGGAATATGTGGTCTGGCTGGTGAAGAGTCATAAATAGATCGTCTCAAAGCAAGGGAAGGTTGTCCACTAAAATTGGACCTATGTGCTCAAGCATTAGCAGCCAAGGTAGCCTCCGCCAACCTAGCTAACATGTATGTTTTAGAGAGAGTCTGAGGTTCATGCATCTTCACAGGATTTACTAGTTCCTCCTTGAGTCCTCCCAGGAAACAAGAGATAGCTTGACTGACAGACAAATCACATTGAGCTAGAAGTCGAGCAAAAGCAAACTGAAATTCTCTCACAGAACATGTTTGCCTTAATTGTTTGAGTTCTAACATAGGATCAGAAAACTCTTCCCTAAATGTTTCAACCAAGGAAGCTAAGTAGTCATCCCAGTCAGTCACTTCAAGTGATTCATGACATTTCATATAGGACTAATGCCATTCTAAGGTCTCATCATC